GTCATAGGCAGTCCCCAAAACTTTATAAGGTATATGTGGCTACTGGGGTTTGGAGGCTCAGAAGTGTCTAGGTAGACACAAAGTAAGGTTGCAACAGTTTGCAAAGGTGCTTGTCATCAAGTCTGATGACTTGAACTAACTTTCTAGGACCCATATGGTAGGGAATAGCAGACTCTCACAGGTTGTCCTCTGACATGTGGTATGTGTGTATTTAAATATAATAAAAACTCTTTGGGAGTTTCATATCATGCACCCCAATTCTGCTCACTGTGGTGATACCTTTCCTGTACAAATAAAGCCTGTCTGAAGATCAGGGGATGAAGCGTGCCACTAGCTAACCATAGAGGTCTGGAGATCTGTACAGACAGACAGGAGGTGAGATGGCTGGATAGAGAGAGGATGTAAGTGGGAAGAAACAGAAACTGCTCATAACAATTTTGAGGTGACTTGATGAAATGATCCAGCCTCACAGACTACTTCAGCCAGCATTTGAAACAAGCCCTGCACTTGCCCATTACACAGAGACTGGACAATAAATGATACAGTTTCACAATTAACCCACAGTTTTTTACAGGATCCCCTAAAGATGCCATCATCCCCAAACAGGAAGTAACTTTAAGAACACAATGCCCACATTCCAAAGAGGTAGGGTGGATGGATTTTGGTCACTCATTGGTTTATGAATATTTGTCATTGTTTTGGGAGATTGGTTACAAAATGTTGATTACAATCAGGAAGAAAGTTGAACAAAGGGGATTAGATTCAAAGCTTTTGTTTTGAAAAAAGATAAATACAGTTATGATATGATAAAAAGGTAGATTATTGAATCTATTCTGAAAAGAAAAAAGGGAGGATAAAGATATGATAAAAAGGTAGTTTATTGAATCTACTCTTTAAAGCAACTACTAGCTTTAAATCTTCATTGGATTGGAATTTTATATATTATATATAAATGTTGTATATTGATAAAAATTTGAGATTAATTTAGCTAAAACAAATGTATACACATTTCTAATATTGTTCAAGTTGTTGTACCTATACAGCTGATTTAACAATGTAATGCAAATTTCTAGTCCTTGAAAATTATTAAGGATATAGGACGGTAAGGAAATGTATTTTAGTAATTAGTCAACTATTACAATTGAACTTATAATCACATTAGGTATGTTTTGAAAGATAAACAGAGATATATTTTAGAAAGACAGGTTGTCTTCAAACACAAGGGATGTACAGAATATGACATTCAAAATGGTTTAATAACATAGGTATTTTTTATTACAATGAGACATGTCTGCTCCTGGCAGCACCTATATAGTTAAGAGAAGATGCTGGGCATTGAAGAAACTCCAAATGGACTTTACTTTCTTTGTGGCAAAGGTAAGCCACTGGGCAAAAAAGTGCCCTTGCTTCGACTGCTGACAGTATGCTCTCCAAAAGTTGACAAACAGGACACCAAAAAGAGTAAGTGCAAACCTTGCCAAGACAAGGTGGACAAGTCCTTCAGAATACCCTGCTTCACAGAAAAGTCTGTCAGAGATGCTAGACCTATAGACTGCAGATGGATGCCCCAACATTGCAAAGCAATCTTGGGTGACTGTCCAGACAGCCAGATGTTTCTGTCATTTCTCACATATTTTTTGGAAGTCGTTTGCTCACACTTCCTGCTTACTCAGTTAACATTATTTCCTTCTCATGTCTCTGAGAGAGTTGAAGCCTAGATATTATAATTATAGTTTTCCTTGTTTACCAGACTTAGTAAAGAAACTCCCTAAAGATACATTAAGTATAATAGGCTTGAAAGACATTAAAGATAATTTGATAATACAAATTAGAATAGAAAGTAAATTAGTTACAAGACTCTGGACCCATCAAGAAAGAATAGATATTGAGGTATTTTCTCTGAATTTTTCATAAGCTAACAGATTACATATTTTGATGTACTTATTGCCTGCACATATTTTATATACTTATTGTACTTATTGTATATAGTTTTCTCATATTATAACTTTTTAAAATTTTAGGCAAAAGGGGGATATGTGGTGGTATCTTGCTTGTACAAATAAAGTCTGTTGGGTGGTCAGAGAATGGAGCTTGCCACGAGCTGACCACAGAGGTCTGCAGATCTGTACAGACATGTAATGATTTCTCTTTCCACCAGCTGCCTGGCTTCTGCCACTGCTTTAGGGACCCCAAATAACATAGAGTCTTATATTAGTTACAATGCTGCTTGCCAATGACTAGGATTTCTTATTTGCTAGCTCAGTCTTAATTATCAACCATAACTACTAATCTATATTTTTTATGAGGACTTATCTTACCGAGGACGCTGGCCTTATGCGTCTTCTTTTCCTGAGATCACATGGCGACTCTCTCCCTTTTCTACATTTCCCAGAATCCTCCTTCTCTCCTAGTCCCATCTAACTTGCTTCCCTATTGGCCAACAGTGGTTTATTTATCAACCAATATGGCAAACATATACACAGAAGAACCTCCCCCATCACAGACAGGCAGAAAGTGAGATGGCTGGGCAGGGAGAGGATATAAGCAGGAAGAAACAGGAATTTGCTCTCTAAAGGCAGTAAGGTTTAGCTGTAGTTTGCTCCTTCTCTCTGATCTCTCAGCATTTTCCTGTACATCTGACTCTAGATTTTTATCACTTAGACCAACTAAAAACGACATTTACAGCTCACCTTCTGGTCCCCCACATCCTCCCCTCACCACTGCTGTGCCCTCCCACAAAAGAAAGAACAACAAAATAAGCAAGCAAGCAAACAAAAGCAAAACCAAATCTCCCCACAAACCCAAACAAAATACAAACAAGAAATACCTCTTTGCTTCTCCTTCTTTCCTGCCTCTCCACACCTCTTCATTCATCCTGGTGACATTGGGGGCTTCAGTTTGTTATACAGTCCACCCCTTTGTACCATCAGATTTACTAATAAATATTCATTACAATGAGTCACTGGTCTGATTCAAGGCCTCTGGTTTCTGGTACCCCATCATCTCTGGATACCCCACCAAAACTCCTGGGATATCCTGTGGCTGCCCTGAGTCTTGCAGATCTTGAGGTTGTCATTCCACAGAACCAGTACATCCACATCCTCCTGCAGGACCTCGATGGGGTGGATGCTATCTAAGGTGGGCCAACCTAAAGCCTGGCTATTAACCTGCTGGTAGTTGAGGTGGTCATTCTGGGCCACTGGAACTACCTGCCTTGGGCGAGGGGATGAAGTCAGCTCCCCTATGTGTGTGCCATCAGGGTTGGTTTAGCTTCATCTGTGGTGAGGGGTGGGGGTCAACTCTCCCAAGTGAAAGGACCATATCTCTTGCTGTAGTTACAGGTGAGTGGCAAGACCAGCTTTGCCAGGGCCAACAAAGGGTGGAATGGCTCAGCATGGTCCTCTGATTTCTTCTTACATGGTTCCTAAGGCTTCCTAAGGTGAGACATGCCATAGGCATTGGAGCAGACCACAGCTGCAACTGGACCATGGATCCAGTCATGGCTCTTGGAAGCAGCTTGGGCCTGGATGACATTCTGACTCTGGGTGGAAGGAATGGCCACTCATGTGGGAATGGTTCTGGCAGCTGTGTGGTGGCCAGACACCACCAAGGCCTTGCCTTTGGCCCCAACCCTGTGTCTTTATTGACCTGTGGTGGCATTACAAGACCCGGACTTCAGCTCAGACCCCAGCCATAGTAAGTCCATGGACCCTGATGTGGTCCTCGGCAGCAGCCTGGGTGTGGTTGTCACCATAGCCCCAGGTGGTGGCAAAGGCCACCCAAATCATCCTGGCCCGAGTGGCAGCATGGCCTGTGAACCCAAACACAGCCCCAGGAGGTGACCTAGTCCACTGGAATAAGCATAGCACTTGATGGCAACAGGAACAATGGACATCAGTACAGACCCTGGATACTGTAGGAGCAGCGACCCAGACATGGCCTTTGGCAGCAGCCAGGCCCAGACATCAATCACAATGTCTCCAGGTGGTTAGCAGACCTCCCCCTCCAGTCTACTCCTTGCCACCTTCACCATGGCCCCAGGTGGCTATTGAAAGCTTTAAGGTCTAGCCTCAAAAGCTTTCACTCAGAGTTCAAAAAGAGACACTAAGTGTGAGGGCTATAGAAAAGAATCTTCTCACACCACCTACTTTCTCTAATGTGCTGTCTATTGTTGTCTCTTTACTGTCCTCTATTCTAATTCTTTTGTACTAATGCCTATAATTCCTTAGCTCTAATTTTCCGTCTCAATTCTAATTCTCTGGATCCTTCTTCCTCCTTCTCCTTCTTCCTCTTCCTCATTCCGCTATATATTTCTTTTTCCTACATTCTTATCCTTTTACATATCGGCTTCTCTCTACCAGCTTGTCTCTCCAGCTGCTACTACCTCTCTTCATCTCATCTCTCCCAGGCAGTCCAGCCCTAGCCCTATGCAAGGCTAGACCTTTTCAGGTCCATAGAAACAGGTACAACTGTAAAACTTTTATCTGTCAGCCTTTCTTTATGGCTCAAGGTAGAAGTGGTTAAAGACTTCAAGAACTTCTTAAAGGAAAGGATGTTAATTGAGAGAAAATTATTAAGGAAATCTAAGAAGGGAGTATGTGTGCTTTTGCTATTTTCTAAAATGTGAGTAGATAATAGACAGAGGTAAAAATAAATACAAATTGTTAAGGATTTACTTTAAGGTTAATGTGAGGTTAGCTTGGGACAATTCCCTATCTGCTGGCATAGTGAATCGAGGGCACTCTTGTTCTCTGTCTCTCTGACAGCTATGCTCAACAACCTTACACATGCCATAATTCTTTTCCTGGAGCATCTGTGAATGTCTCAATAAAGGTATCTTTGCCTGGACACTCACACTGCCCAACTGTCTGCCAAGGAAGATAACTGAAGGGGAACAGACTTCTAAGTTTGTACAAAGACCTGGTTGTTGATCCATACTACTTTATTTAATCAGGCATCACTGCCAAGTAGTAATATTAAAATGGATTTAAGATGATCCATTAATACAGCGTGTCTACTGGTATCATGGACACCACTCTACGAGAGTAGTGAGATTGGATGCTGTCTACTACAACCACATTCACGATGTCATATAATGAAGGTGTATAACCAGGCAGAGTATGCAGAGAGTCCAAATTAAAAAAGATGCTGGCTTCCACCACACCAGTTCTTCCATCAACGCTGGTCACACAGACCTATGAAGGGAAATGAAGGCAGTGAGTATGGAGAAGCAGAACCCACCACAGACGGCCCTCAACAACCCCTTGGCTGTAAACAGCAGGTCCCCCACCCCATCACTGATTCTCATCCTGGACACACAGGGAAAGTAAGTCGATACATCTGAGTCACCGTTCTACCCCTCTCCTATTAAAGCAGAGAAACAAGATGAGCCCTGGGCTACTGATAAGAGGATGAACCCTGCATGCTTCACCCGCTACCTCCCTGGCTTCACATCTCATTCTCAGGCTGTACTAACCAAGGTCTTACTCCACCCCCTTCCCCACCCCACCTCCCTCCTCATCAGCAGATTGAACACCTCAAACCCAGGGCACTTAGTTTCCCCACAATTGCCTCAGAGCTAAGACACTTTGTAACTGTTGTCCACAGAACATCCTAATGTCAAGTAAAACACACAACCTAGGAATTAAGTATGTGTGTATTCTACATTATTTTCTGCTAATTTCCTTTTCAATCAGTGAATGTGTCCACTTTGGCAGGGGATATACTGCCAGACATACCAAACAAAGTCCTGGCCTAAAAAAGTGATCAGGAAGGAAGGATAGACAGCTGTGTACCCATGACAAGGGCAACATAGAAGTATATTACCTCATCCATATTTTGGGAGTTCAGGAGGCTCACAGTGTGGATAGTGATGTTTGAAGTTCCCGGCTTCAAGGAATATTCAACCAGCAACAAATCTCCTTTAAAAGGCAAAAATCCTAAAACAGCCAAGAATATTAGAAATGTAAATATTATTGCACTCAGTTTATGTCGCATTACCAAGGCCATTTGCCACTGCAATATTGTGACCAATATTTCCTGAATGTAAAGTAACTTTTCCAAATACTTAGATATCTTTTGGATAAGTATGGTGGCTCATGCCTTTAATGCCAGCACTCCAAATGCAGAGGCAGGTGGATATCTGTGAGTTCCAGGTCAGTCTGGTGTATAGAGGGAGTTTCTAGTACAGACTCCAAAGCTACAGAGAAACCCTGTCTCAAAAAAAAAGAAAGAAAGGAAAAGAGAAAAGGAGTAAGAAAAAGAAAAAGAAAGCGAAAGGAGAATATAACCTATGCTCATTTATATCTGTATAAGTGAATGAAAACACTTTATTAACTGTGAGCACATTTGTTACTACTTGTTCAGTATTTATTTTTTATCTCTTAGAATACAGTTTCTGTGAATGCAGGCACTGTTTTAAATGTATTGGTGTCCCTATAAAATGCAAAATAAGTATATATTGAATAAATAAATGATTTAATTCTAAACAAATTTTGTTCTATAAATCTTACCTCCCGAAAACAGCTGGACAGGGAAAAAATTTTCCTGACTGATATAGACGTTGTCCTGTGTTACTGAGGTGACACACCTAATACAAAGTCTTTTATTGACTTCTGAAAGGTCAGTACCGCCAACAGAATTATTCATGGCTTTCACCTATAAGAGAAGGAGACAGTGGCTAAAGGTAAAATAAAACTTACAGGCAGAAGTTTGTACACTTACCAAGGATTTCCTGTTGACGGAATTTTTGTCCCACGTGGCCCACTGCCATTTAATTCCAAACAAATACACAGAGGCTTCTATTAATTATAAACTGTTTGGCAAATGGCTCAGACTTCCTTTTGGCTAGCTCTGTCTTAATTATTGACCTATTTCTATTAAACTATCTATTGCCCTGAGACTGTGGCTTACCTGTAATGCACTGGCATGTTACTCCTTTGGTGGCTACAAGGCGTCTCTCTGTATTTCTTTCCAGCCTCTTTTTGTAGAGGAAAATGTTGAGAGATCAGAAAGAAGGAGCAAGACACTGCCACACCTTACCTCCTTCCAGTCTCAGCAGACAAGAGGGTCAGTTCCTCTTTTTCCCTGCTTATATCCTGTTTCTGCCCAACTACCTCGCTTCCTATCTGCCAGTACAGACCTCCATACCTCTATGGTTAGCTAGTGGCAACTTCCATTTTCCGACCTTCAGACAGGCTTTATTTGCACAAGCAAGATATCACCACAATTCCCCATCAAACAACAGCATTTAAGGAGTTGACCTAACACAGTTGTAAGGGTGCTTTCAGGACATAGGGTTCCTTGTCTGAGACAATGGACCTCATTATTTGTGCCAAAATAGCCCTCCTGTCGCAGAAATCTTTTTTACAACTGTTCTCAAACTTACACAATACATTTCCATTAAAGATGCATCATGGAAAAAAAGATATATCATGGACCAGACGTGATGGCATCAATTGTGGCTGTGCTTGCTCTATGGATTGGCAAGTGACTTGCAAATGTGAATTTTACACTGATGCTTAATGCTCTCATAAACTTACCTTCTGATCTTAGAAATACAGTGCTCAACCATGTAAAGTATTTTGTCTTTTAGAATTATTAATGAAATCTTTGTGTTTTTCAATTTTCATTTGTCACATAAAATGTGTATTACAATAGAATTTTGTGACACACACATATATGAACATGTATACTTATTTCACAAATCATAAAAGTTATTATTAACAAATTTCTAAAGAACTTAAAAGTTAGAATGAATTTCTTAAATTTTATTTAATTCTCATGGTTTATCTTTTCCCTTTTCTGTGTGTGGGGTTTCTCTGTGTAGCTTTGGAACCTTCCCTGGAACTCACTCTATAGCCCAGGCTGGCGTTTAACTCACAGAGTTCTTCCTGCCTCTGCCTCCTGAGTGCTGGGATTAAAGGCGTGGGCCACCAATGTCCAGATCACACTGTATTCTTAATTGTAGGATTGTAATGACAGTCATTGACAATTAATTCAGAAACTACAATAAATTTTAAAATTTGTTTTACTCATTCATTCAGTTTTTTTTTTTTTTTTTTGCTATTGGAATCTCTATGCATATACAAACACATATAACCAAATCAAAGTAAAGAAAGTATTTTTAAAACCTACTTCTAAACAAGTTATAGTCATGGTTGAAACTCAAATTAGGAAACATTTTTGCACATTTACCCAGAAAATGCTTAGACTGAGTGATATTGGTGGGGTAATTTGAGGAAATGTGCTTTTTGGTGTGTGTGAAGGAAGAGAAACGGGTTACCTGGGACACGGGAGTGGAACAGAATATAGTCGTCAGAGAGAAGAATGAGCAGCACAAGTTTGGAGAACAAGGAAGAAGAGAGCATGCTATTCCCTGACTGGACCTGGCTTCAGAAGCAGGAGATGAAGTGGGAGAAAGAACCCCATCAGAAGAGACTGCACCCCAAGTGTGCTAGGGATCCGTTCACGTGAATGTGGAAGAATACTAATAACCTGCCTTTGGAGAATTATGACCTTACTGCAGGGAATTTCCCTTTGAAATTTTCATGAATTAAATAATGCACTTCTCTATCCAAATATAGAATAATCACATGAGCACACAGCAGAAAACCATCTCCTACAAAACCATACTGGATAATTCCATTATCCAGAAAGAGTGAGTGGCTACCAGTTTGAAAATCAAAACTGAATCTCGTTCATGCTATTAAAATATCACATGAATACACACCAAAGTGTGGCAGAAAGGGCCATCTGGAATCACAATGGTACATGCATAATAATTAGTGAGCTGTGTTCCTCATCATGTGACACTTTGAATGCACTCGTTATGATAGTTACTGTCCTAAGAGCACTCATGGAAACTGGAGTCACTGACGTCAAAGGCTGTGGCATAACTTTTCCAAACCTAAATAATTGCTGTTGCCACCTTTCACTCAGTGTATGACCTACTATTAGAGCAGATGGGATGATCCTTTCTCTCGGATCCTTTGCAGCAAGGAGTGAAGAAGTTGGCTCCTGTCTGACTACTCACCGTCACCGCTATCAGTAAGCAAGGGGAAGAGCATCACAGACTGAGCAATCTGCATTCTGACTCTCCACCAGCCACAGACATACTGTACCTTGAAGAATTCCTGAGTTTTCCGGGAAAACTTGCATTCTCCCAGTTCTCATTTTTTTTTTTTTTTTTGGTTTTTCAAGACAGGGTTTCTCTGTGTAGCTTTGGAGCCTGTCCTGGAACTCACTCTGTAGACCAGACTAGACTCAAACTCAGAGATCCACCTGCCTCTGCCTCCCGAGTGCTGGGATTAAAGGCGTGTGCTACCAACGCCCAGCCCAGTTCTAATTTTTTTTTTGAAATAGAAATACAACCATCAATCATATCAAAGAATACAGGTAGATTATTAGACATATAAAGAAAAATTCTAAGATACTGTTGGTCCTCACAAACAAATGTAGTAGAGTGGATAGTCTAATTCATTGTATAGGAGCACGTGGAAGCCAGTTATAAAACAAGGTATGTATCCTTCTCTTAGCACCCTTATATCAAATACAGGATGACTAAATATTTACATGCCAATGCGTGTAAAGAGTTCTGAAAGAAATACCAGGGAACCTAGTCAGTGTATAGGGCCTGTAATTCCATCACTTAGGAGAAGTCACAGACAAGGAGGATGGCTCCAAGTTTGAGGGTTCATAGTCAATTTGAGGACATGTGATGCACAAAGTTAAGACTTTGTCACCTAAAACTTCAATGAATAAATATGTAAAACAGAAAATCATTTATCAGGGTGGTTCTTTGTTTAAAACAATGCCTTATATTGTATCCTTGGATGACCTGAACATATTATGTAAAGCAGTCTATCCAACTCACAAATATTCCATCTACCTCTGCCTCCTGAATATTACAACAAACGCATTAAACTCGCCCTAAGTCTACATAAGTGTCTGCTTAATCCAAGGGAGATACCTTGATTGCTCTCAGTACATGAGATGTTTCATCTTCTTCAACGAGAGCAATGACACTGCCTCCGATGTTCACAGGCACGTTGTCACTGACCACTTCAGTATTGAAAAAGATGGATTCATTAATCCAGCCATAGTCAGAACAAAGATGGGTCACAATTCCCTGGATAGACTTCAACTTGGAGTTATCTATGGTACACGGAAACAAAGGTCACACTGTCAAATGCAAAGAGCCACTAAACAGAAGTCGTAGTCTGACTTCTAACACCTGTGTAGATGTGAGCACATACCATCACTGCTCTGACCAAAATAACTATTTCTGCAGCCTAAGGTTGTCACTGTGCCTCCATGGCATCTGCAGGTGACCTGTGCCAGTAGAGTGCAAGGGATGTGCTCATCTTATCTGCTCAGGAAGCCTCTTTGAATTCCCATTATTACTAGTGTATGCCTGCCTCGTCGTCAGTAGCAAACGCACAGCCATGTTTCTGCATTCTGACAGAGCATTAAACGATATGTGCAGATACAAGGATACGTTTCCAAATTGTCTCTTACTCTCCATAAGCATAAAGGGTAAGTAATGTTTCGGGATGTGGCTCCAGTAGCCTGCTGGGACCACCAGGCACCTTCCTCTGTGGTACCCTCCTTATGACCGACTCTGCCTCCTGGCTTCAGATACATGTGTACGTGGGAAACAAGGCCAAATTCACTCTCAAAGTGAGATGGTCCCCTTCTCTGGGGAATACAAAGGCATCTTGTAAGGGGAAGCCGGAGACAGTACAGCCCACATAGACTTGTGTTCTTTGAGTTGGTCCAGACACCCTCCTGCGTTGGTCCACCAAGGGCGCTTGAGGCACAGTTAGACAGTGCTGGCCTAACTGTCGGGAACTCAGGCTTACCCTCATGCTCAACAGCCACTCAGGATGGCGGCAAGCCCCTCCCCCTATTTGTTGCCTCACCACTCCTCACGTGGAGGATACCCTTTCTGAGGAGTCTCCTGAGTGAAGGATAAGGAGACTCCAACAGGCATACCTTGAGGTTGTTCCTGCAGTGTTTCTTCAGACTCCGTGCCCCTCCGAAAGATAGCTGAAACCCGGCGTAGAAGATTCATCTTGGTGGTTTACTACCAGCCCGGGCAATGCCGAGGCTTACAGATGAATCTGCAGGCAGGCTTTCCTGGCTCTCAGGATCTGGCCCTGTTTGTCTTCCCAAGCCTCTGCAAGATGGTGGTGGACAGCTAAAGGCGCCCTCAGGAGAGCCAGGACCAGGGCACCTGGCTCACTGCAGGGAGCTTCCCTTCAAGCGCCCTCTCCGAGAAGAGTCCGCCTCTTTCCACTGCCAGCCAATGAGAGTCAATGGGGTGTTTACGTCACTGCTCCAGCCAATGAGAGGCACTGGGCAGAGGCATTTGGCCACACCCACCCATTGTGAGAGCAGCAACAGGAAGGTCTCTGGAAAATCTGCTTCTGGTGTGTCCTTGGGGTACTCAGTTTGTGTGTAAGGGGTGTGTTTCCTACATGTTCCTGATAGGGCCAGGGGTTTGTCTTAGGAGGTCTGACAGAAACCCTTGTCCCTGCAATGTCCCCCAATCATGTTTGGTGATAAGCATAAGCAGTATCTACATTGTGGCATTGTTCAGGGTCAGAATGTGTGTGTGTGTGTGTGTGTGTGTGGTGTGTGTGTGTGTGTGTGTGTGTGTGTGTGTGTGTGTGTGTGTGTGTGTGTGTGTGTAGAATGTGTGTGTGTGTGTGTGTCTTCTGTAATATAAAATTTTGAGGATAGTGAAGCCTTTTTGATTTATCTTTATCAGTAAAAAAAATCAGGAGTCAGATATCAGGGTAAGAACCTGAAAGATCAGAGAAATAGGGGAGCAGCCACCAGGCACCTCCTACCTACCTTTCCCATTCCTTCCTCCAAAAGGGCCGAGATCTTCTAGCCTCACCTTACTACATTCTGTCTCCTATCTGTCTACAGTCCTCCAAACCTCTATGGCTAATTTTGGTCAGCTAGTGGCTAGCTCTGCCCTCTGTGTCCCAGAAAGCTTTGTCAGAGCACAATCAAAATATCACACATTTCCCCCTTTATGTCTAAATATAATGCGAAGGTTTTAACTAACATTGCAAAACTATATACAATAAGTACAATGAATATATACAAATATATACAGGTAGGAATTACATGGCCGGGTGGTGGTGGTGCATGCCTTTAACCCCAGCACTCAGGAAGTGGAGGCAGGCGGAACTCTGTGAGTTTGAGGCCAACCTGGTCTACAGAGCAAGTTCCAGGACAGCGTCCAAAACAATACAGAGAAATCCTGTCTCAAAAAACCAAAAAATTTACATTAACTGTCCAATTCATTTGCATTTGACAAATTCAGAGAAAAGACTCCATTATCTATCCAATCTTGGTAAGTCCAAAGTGTTGTACCTAATTCAATTTCTATCCTAACTTGTATTTCTAACCCTATCTTTTTATGTATTTCAACCTAATATATTTTATACCTCTTTTGTGCATTTCTTTTCTGAATTTGGTAACAAGGAAAATTATAACTATAACGGTCTAGTCTTCATCTCCATCAGAGACCTGAGAAGGATATAATATTACCTGAGTAAACAGGAAGTTCAGAGCAAAGAACTTCCAAAACTAAGAAATAACAGAAAGAGCTGGCTATCTCGACAGTCATCTAAGGTTTGTCTGTAATGTTGAGGCATCCATCTTCAGCCTGCAGGTATAGAATATTGGGTAGACTTTCCTGTGAAGCACTAATTTTGAGGGACTCTTATGCCTTGTCTTGGCAAAGTTCAGCGGTCATTTTCTTTTGTGTCCTGCTGGTCCAATTTGAATAGCATACTGTCAGCAGTCAAAACAAGGGCAGTTTCCTGCCCAGTGGCTAACTTTTGGATTTTGTCAGTTTTTTTTTCCAGACCATTACAATAACAACTTGTAACCAACATCTCCCCTAAACAATGACAAATATCCATAACCCACTGAACAACTAAAAACCTCCTACCCCACTACTTTGGAATGTGGGTGTCGTGTTCTTAAAGTTATTTCCTGTTTTCTGGGGGTACCAGTATCTTTAGGGGACCCTGAAAAAATGGGATAATGGACAAGTCCTGGGAGAGCTAGCTGTATCATTTGTTGTCCAGTCTCTGTGTAATGGAAAAGTGCAGGGCTTATCTCAATTCCTGACTAGAGTAGTCTGTGAGGCTGGACCATCTCAGCTAGCCACCTTGAAATTATCCTTAGCAGTTTGTAGTCCAAAGTCGATCTTCAGGTGCTGTTTGCCAGCTTAGTGACTTTACCACAATCCAGGTGGAATCATTATTGTGGGGCCCTCCCTATCTTCCTTTTTGAGCCTTAAAAGGTCACTGTTAGGTGTGGTCATAGTTCACTGCAGAAAATTTAAACATTTTAATTGTCATGTACAGAAAATCTTCAAGAAGCTAAAGGACCATAAATTGTTATGTACATCCAGAGTAAACTGAATTCCTAGTTACCTAATAGAGACTCAAACCCAAAATCATATTCAGGAAGCTAGATGAAGCCTTATTTTAGGATTCGTTACTACCCTATATTACCATTAATATCATGACAAAATTTATATGTATATATATATTAATTTTACAAATTTTGAGATAATATTTATACCTTAAGAAGAGTTTAAAGAGTCAAAATAAAACCAAAGAATTATGAGATTAGTGGTGATAGAATAGTCTCTTAATTTTTGTTTTTCTTCTGTTCCATACCAGGTGTCTCTTTCCGACATGAGACAGGGATTTTGGATTTTTCTTTAACAAGCATGCTTAAGTTTAGAGAAGGGGGGATCCACAAATGCAGCAAGAACTAAACTTTTTCTATCTGAGGGGAATAAGAAAGAAAAACAAACTTTCTGGTGGTAACTTCTCTTTTAGTTCATCTTGAAAAAAAAACTCCCTCCAACAGAAAACTCTAGACAATATATAAGTTAAATTTTCAGGGTCATATAGCATTTCTTGAGTAAACAATGAAAAACCAGAACCATTCTGGTAACACATGATAAGTCACGTAGTTTCTCTCAGGCTAGATACGTCACACTGACCGGGCATGGTGAGTAACCATGGTGACTCTTGGCTATCAGTTTAGTTCCCTGAAGTGCAGTCTGTGAAGCAAGCATGTAGCTCCCAGAGGTCAGTGTTCCCTGACAGAGAGTGACGTTCAAATTCAGGACCTAAACAATAAACAGTTAGTTGGCTGAACCTTGAGCCTTGTATCATAAAGGTGAGGTTAGGAGTACGTGCAGAGAGTCAATCCCTGAGAGAATTTGTACAAGAAATTATGTCTTTATGTTGTTAGCTGGGCTTTTGCAAGCAAAGAACTGGCACTAAAGTTGTTTCATGTCTTACCTTCACTCCACAATTAGACATCTGGGAATTTGTCCTTGTGTATTTCATTTGCTAGGGCTTTGAATTTGCTCTGAGGCTTTAAATCAACTAATTATAAATAATTGTCTTGAAACTGAGAAATAAAGGCCTGGATATTTAATCACCAAAATTATACACAATGAGAAGAAGCCATCCCCCTGTCAATTCATGGACATAATTGTGCCACAAAAGTGTAAAACACAGCTGGGCATTGGTGGCACATGCCTTTAATGCCAGCCCTCAGGAGGCAGAGGCAGAGGCAGAGGCAGAGGCAGAGGCAGATGGATCTCTGTGAGTTCGAGGCCAGCCTGGTCTACAGAGCGAGTTCCAGGACAGGCTCGAAAACAATACAGAGAAAACCTGTCTCAAAAAATGAAAAGAAAAAGTGTAAAACACAACACCAGTGGGCTGTGGAAAGAACCCCATAGGTGTTCTTTTTAAGGAGGAATTGCGGTGGCACGTGAGAAAATTAGAAACAACCGGCATCCATGGCCACTAACCTCATGGTCTTTGCTTAGTGGGGCTCCCCATTAGAGAAATATTTATTTGGTGACTTAACCTGTTGAATAGTCATCACCTGCTGTATATTCTAAGTGACCTTAAGCAAGGTGATAATTTTCTTGCACTATTTAAGTCCTTGTTTGAAATAAATTCCTTAGACCTTGACTTGTTAATTCAATTGTGGGCACAGCCAGTTAATGTCTCCCAGCAATTTTTGAAAGTCATTAAGAGTCTGCAATTGATCTCTCCTGATTTGGAGAGTTTTGGGGGTTGCATATTTTGTAAACCTATTTTATATCCTAGGTAATTAATAAAAATCTCCTCTTTGTATTTTTTTCAGGAGCGATTTCTAATTCCTAACAAGGCAAAATTTTCTTTACTTCTTCAAACATTTCTCTAAGGTGTCACATTTGAATCAGCTAATGAGATTATCATCTACATGATGGTAAATTATAGATCGAGGAAACTGTTTATAAATTATTTCCAATGGCTGTTGCATAAAATATTGGCACAGGGTGGGGCTATTGAATATACCTTGTGGGATAATTTTCCACTGGTATCTTTTAACGGGCTGAGAATTATTATAAGTAAGCACCATGAAGGCAATTTTTTCTCTATTCTGTTCTCATAAATGTATGGTGAATAAACAGTCTTTTAAATCAATCGCTATAACAGACCATCACTTAGGTAATAGAGAAGGTAGGGGAATTCCAGGCTATAGAGAGCCCATTGACTGAATTACTTTATTTATGACTCTCAAATCTATTATCATTCTCTATTTTCCAGATTTCTTCTTAACGACAAATATAGGAAAATCCCAAGGACTTGTTGATTCTTCTTTATGTTAAGCATTTAGCTGTTCCTGTATCAGCTGTTCAAAAGCCTGTAATTTTTCTGATATCAATAACCATTGTTCCACCCAGACATGTTTGTCTGTTAACCATTTTAACATGTAGGGTTTTTGGTATCCCATAAATTCATTGCTATGTTAGCCACATATGACTTTAATTTTCCTCTCTGTCCTTCTGGCCCTGAATATTCGACCCATCTCATGAGTGCAGCTTCCATGCACAGCTGTGTTGGGTGCTGGTGTCTGCAAAGCCACCAAGTAGCTATTTTGTGAATTTGTGTCCCAAACATTGGTCACCAGATGAAGCACTAATCTAATTAATCTTATTAATAAAGATCAGGAGTCAGATATCAGGGT